TAACGGTCAAATCGAGTCCGCTCTCGTTTCTAAGAATGGCTATCATTGATGGTATTATAGGAAATACCAGATTACCTACACATTGGATCAGACGCAATTATGTAAATAGGTTTTTAAAGTACTACAGAATTTGTTATCTATGAGCTAAAATGCATTCTGTTAAAAAAAATTATTGTGTGAAAAAAATTGGTGATTTTGCACTTGATATCTTTAATATTTTAACTAAATGTAAGGGTGAAGTAGAAGTGGTGAAAGTCATCAGCATACAAATATTAAAATAAGACAACGAGGATTTTTAAAAAATATGTTATAGGTCAACAAATACTGAATTTATACTAACCTTTATTCCTTGTTGCTATAACTACTATCAAACAAAATAAACATAAACAAATTAACAGAGTTCAAAAAAATCGTCATCAAAATCATCATTATCAATAGAACTATCACTGCTGTCTTCATTAACATTAATAATAACTGTAGGAATTACAACGTCATCTATTATAATTTCGCGATCTAAATATTTGTCTTCAACAGCTATTACATGTACCTACACATCTTTTTTCCAGTCTTTTTGGGTTACTGATTTAAATTAAATTTCAGCTAACATTTGTACATGTGCTAATTTAAAATGAATATTATTTATAGCTACATTATTTTTTACTACAGCCCAGATCATTTCTATTGAATTTAAGTCTGGGTGGTATGGTGGTAATCTCAAACCTGTATGACCGTGTTCGGAGAATAATCTATCAAATTTGTATTGCTTGAATCTATTTTTATGCTGTTGATTAATGTGTATAGCTGTGGTCGTAATAAGGAAGGTTGAAATTCAATATTGTTGGACGTCAACCAGTTTATCATTTCAGCTTTTCTTGAATTTGAATTCGGAGCAGGATTTTCTATAACATTATGATACAGTGCATTATCCACAACTACAATAGCATTTGGTAGTAAATTTGGTATTAACAGTTCTCTTAGCCACTTTTCATAATTTTCTTGATTCATATCATTATGATAATCACCAAATTTAGCCCCAGACACAAACATTAATAAACTGTTAGGAATAAAGCACATGTTACCACCAGCATAAACTATAATAAGTCTCTTTCCTTTCGAAATGGTGGAAAACAAACCTTTTGCATTATCATCACCCCAATTATGTGATGATGTATGACTACTATGTATGTAAGTTTCATCATTATATACAGAGGGACGGTTTTGAGAACGAAAATATCTAATTTTTTTAATATAATTTATTCTTTTTTCCGTTGCCGTTTTATTAAAACCTGTCTGTTGTTTCGCGTTTTTCGCCACTTGAACCCAATTTTTTTAAAAATAGTTTTTAATGATGTGTAGCTCCCTTTCCATTCAATTTCCTTTTTAAATTTTTCACTAAGAGTTTTGACTGTTGCGCGCATACCTTCTGTTTCGTGAAATCTATAAACTATAACTCTGATTATTCCAATATCTGTTACACTTGATGTTCTTCTGCGCTTTTTTTGGACTTTTAAACAATTGTTTAGGTATGGTCGACGTAGAATTTTCCCCTTTTGATATCTGGTCACCTTCTATAATTATTCGTTCAATTGTTTTTACCGAGTATTCTGTAGCTTCAGCAACTTGTTCTTGAATTTCAGTGAGAGTTTTGGGATCATCATTCACAACTCAAAATCGGCACGCTACACAAATTCAAGAAAATATTATCATCTACTGATCGCCCCCCCTCCCCCCCCCCCCCCCCTCCCCCCGACAACACGGCTATTGTTTGCATCTCTCTTTAACAGTTACAGTAGGCGTTGACAATTGAAATTCGAGATTAACGCGCATCCTCTCTTCAGACAAATTAGATTGCGATACTTGTATTTAGGAACAAATTATTGTACTTTCCAAAATACACACAAAATTGAATAGTCTAAAAACTAAGAAATAAATGTTTCTTTGGACCAAATCAAAACACTAAACACAAGAAAATAACAATGAAAGGAAATGCAATAAGTAAACCGTTTACTACGCTATTGGATGTAACTGCGCAGTATTATAAATAAGACGCTGGGAGGTCTGTGACCACGCCTACTGCCTATAAATTCAATCTGGTTTCTGCGCATTGTAAAGTAATGTACTCTACGGATAATAATCAAGCTCTACCATTCGAAACAATCGGGAAAGTTACTTTCCCAGCTAGTATGTCACTTTTTTGCCAGCAAATGTCATTTACTATATGTTTCGTGAGTACCTCCCTGCTTGGTATGCTAATATGTCTTCTTCTACTCGTCCCTTGTCATCATTTGTATATTTCGAGTTGTTTCATTGATATAGGTAGTTTTGTGTATCTTTCCCTGAAAAAAACAAGGTCGTGTTGTATCTCAAAATGGCTTAGATGCCGTCGAACTCTTGTAATTTTAATTTAACAACTGTTTACGACAGTTACCATCAACCAAAATAAATAGATGGAACATATAAACAACTTTTTTGTTAGGGATCGTAAAAAGAAGGAATTGAATTTCTTATCAGTTATTATTTATTATATTATTCTAAACACTATACGCATATGTACAGAATTTGGATTAAAAATATATACCTACTATGACTGGGTGATGCATTTTTTTGGCACATGCTATATATTTTTTAATCGAAAAATATATTGTAAACAAAAATGTATCATTATACTGATCCGTTACAGTGAAATATGTTCATTGTATTTTTCATTTAGTGTAGATTTAAATACAAGCATAGGTCCCAGTTAGTTTTACAATTTTGTAAACAATATAAAATTCCAAATAGGTAATTTATTTAATTTTTGTGTCAATAGGTAAACATATTTTGTAAAAAAATTACATTCTAAACTGACGCTGTTTGGGTCTTGATGTTAATTTTTAATTTTTGTTTAATATTTATTGAAAACTTTTTAAAATGGCGTCGTCTCAAAAACAATCAACATAAACTGTATTTGATAAAATCGTTTCAAACAAAACAAGATTTATAATTAACTACCATGCGATATATTTTTAGTGCAATAGATAAAACGTGTAAAAATGGCAATACCATATCCCATCGGTGTATATTCGTGATTTCACGGAAATACACTTCTGTAGAAATATAGCGTTGATTAAAGAAATATTGAAAATAATGCTGTTTCATTACCATTACCAGCTTTACCTTTATTTAACGAGGACCACTATAAAATTCAGGAGCGTGCGGTCCATGGAAGCGGGGGAAGCACCGCTTCCCTACACTTTGAAATTTAAAAATAAATATTTTTAAGTTTACAATGCATAGAAATTAATATTAAATTAGGTGCTATATTTTCTCAGAAATATTACGTAAAATTCGTAAATGTACTAACAATTCATTGGTGTGTAAACGCACGCACCACCCATGAGAAAATTAATTGTGTAAACGTACAAACGAGTCCGTCGGCAGAAGCATGTCTTGAAAAAGCCGACTCATCTTCCAATTGATTTCGCTTGGTGTTATTGACCCTGCTTTGAAACGACAGTTTCAGTCTGTTTGCACACGTGAAATACGGTCGAGAGGCAGCGATTATTACGTCGTCTTACGCTTATTGCAATTCGCACCGCGAATCGACGTGTGAGGAAAATCTCAGATTTTAAGTAGATTTCGGTTTGTTTTTCGTAGTTGCTTTTCTTTTTGTAAAATAAAGGAACTATGTACGTTTGGGATAATAAAGAAACATGGGATACTGAAACTGTTACTACTGCTAAAGAGTATTTCCATTGGCTCAAACAAAACTTTGATTTCAATTTTTTGCTTAACATTTTTGCAGATTTTTCCTTTTACTGACATTTTATTCGACATTTTACAGACAAAGTCAAATGACATTGGCTTTTGCATTAAACAAATTGATGATTTTAAAAATAAAATGAATAAAAAAAGAGATCAGTTTGAACACTTTTGGAATAAGACTCAAAACATTGGCTTAGAACCTGAAAGAAAGAGAATTAGAATTGATAATGTCGGCGACAGACATTGCGTTCGGTCTGCCACGTTCTTTTAACTCCTTTAACACTTTTTACTCCAAACGACCCTTTTAGCGTTCGGTTTAGTCCGATTAGTGACAGTTTAACACGCTTAAATGTCATTTAAAAGCACCCTAAAAAACTCCGCTTTTGTCTTGCTCCAGCCCCTGACTATCCGAACTCGCCTAGTGAGACCTCCTATCGTCGATTAAACGCCGAAATTTTTGATAATATTCTACAATAAATAAACTCTCGATTTAAACACTTTAACGAATTAAAATTTGTTGAATTGTGCAATTTTAATATTAGTAACTACGATTCATCAAAATTTCCATCAGAAGATTTTAATTCACTAAAATTAAATTATGAAATTTTTTTCGATATTCCAGCATTAAAGTCCCAGTTAAGTGTTGTTTATGAAACAACTAAAATTAGTGATAAAAAGACGCCCATCAATGTGTTTAATTTTCCTTATAACAACTGGTTTAAGTAAGTCCCTTTGTGAAGTCGTCAAGTTGTGTGAATTAGTACTAACCATCCCAGCCACAAGTGCGTCAGTTGAGCGAAGTTTTTCAGCTTTAAAGCGCATTAAAAGTTTTATACGAAATTCAACAATTGAAGACAGACTCTCTAATTTAGCCCTAATATCCATTGAAAAACAGTTTGTTAAACAGTTATCAGAAAATCCAAAATTTTACGACGATGTTATAGACAAATTTGCAGCCATTGAGGATAGGCGAATAGATCTTAAGTATAAATAAATGTCAACTGCTGTGTCAACTGTGCGAAAAATACTGGAGAAAATAAAAAAAAACTTCAGTTAAATGTTTTTTTACGTTTAAATTTTCGCCTGCGGCGCTGTGCTTATTGGCCTGCTGTATTTTTATACAATCGCTTCCCCTTCCAAAAATGTTACCGCACGCCACTGCTAAAATTATTGAAATGCAGCCAAACTATGCCAGGCGCATAAAAATTTACGGGTGTATCTATTATTGTGGCTGGTCTGATAATGACCCACCCCTGTAAAAATGATAATTTCATAAAAACAAAAACAATGATTAATGCAAAATTAAGTTCTCACCTTTAATGTTTATTAATGTATGCTCCACATTGTTCACATATAGAATTAAAACTCAAAAGTCAAATATATGTCATCGAGAGCTGTTTCGAAAAGTGCGGAAAACATTGGTTCAGCTGCGTCCGCGTCAGTGAATGCATTTTATGTTTGTTTAGGGTTGAGAAAATCAAGAGATATTTATTATTTGTCGACGATAAGGCATTATTAAATGCCCTCATAGATATTCTAAGCAAATAAGAAGACTTGGTACATTATCAGTGCCACGGATGCAACGTTCCACCGAACGTGATCATGGTTACCAAGTTTTTCTTGTTCTTTTTTTGTGCTAGCTACCCTGTTGTCTATAGTAAGTAAACTTATTTATCAATAACTATATATTTTTTTAATTTATACGTATATAAAAAAATCTATTAAAATGTTTTTTAATATTCCAACCTTTGCACGACAAAAATAAAAGATTCAAAGGGCTGTAATTTGTTTACACACTGAAATACAACGGCTAACGGCTGAACTATTTTTCAAAATTAGTTTTCAATATTGTTTTTGTCGTATAATACTTTGTTGGATTTCGGAGTAATGTAGATAAAAACGCGCCAATTATAAATGTAATTTACGACCGAAAAACAGAATTATTGATCAAGTATAGTCATTTGTGAGACACCTGTATTAGCTCCTCATCTTACTGCAAAAGGTACATGTCGTGTTTTTTGCTTGCTATTTGCAGTTGGATACAGGGAAAGGTAGTGAACAACATGTACTATGTCCCGGTGGTAAGAGCTATCGTGCAACCTGTCAAATTTAAAGTAAAATTACTTTTTTTTTTCGTTGCTGTTAGCAATGAAAAAATATGCTTTTATGTCTATAACAATAAAAAAATTCCTTTGTAAGCATTTTGTCGTCCTGTTTTGCTACTTCCGGTGTAGGGATTTCGGATATTTGTGTTTTTCTTCGAAATTCAGGATATAGCTTAATCGCGTTTTTTTCTTCATCTAAGATGGTATTGCAATAATTTTTTGTGTCGGCGAAAGAGTTGATATGCAAAAAGTGACCTGCTTTTTTGAAATAGGTGTAAAATCAGAATCAAAAGTCGAAAAATGGTATATTTTCTGTTAAAATGTTTGTATGACTATCAAATAAAAGTATTGCCCTTGCAAGTATACTTTTTATTCAGTAGTTCTATCCCATTCATTAATTTTTATTATTTGTTCCCATAATGACAACTATTTTGACATTTTTTTTTAAACCCGGGGTGAATGGGGTAGAACTACTAAATAACAAATGCATGAAAGGGCAATACTCTGAGAGTAATAAAAACATTTTGAGAGCAATTAAACCACTTTTCGACTTTTGCTTCTGACATTCTTTCGTTGACATAAAAAAATGTTTGAAATATTCATAGATTCAGAAAAAACGCGTTCAAACCATATCCTGAATTTCGTTGAAGAACACAAATATCCGATCACGTGACCAAAATCCTTAACCCGGAAATAGTAAAACCGGATGATAAAAATGCATTTAGATACTTTTTTATTCTTATAGACGTCTAGAAGCATATTATTTCATTGCCAGCAAAAAAAAGGAGAAAACCCATCGATAAACAAACGTACTCTGAATTTGACAGGTTATATGACAGCTCCCACTACTGGAACATAGTACATGTTGTTCACCTTCTCCCCTGTACCTAACTACAAATAGACCGTCAGATAGTGACCGATTTAGGTGCCCCATTATCGCATACAAGCCTCAAAGAGGGTTGAAAAGTACATCGATATTGAGTAGAATAAAAAAAATTACGAGTGGCTCTTAGGGATAATACATGGAAAATTCGATCAGAAGAAATTTTCAGACCCCCAAAATGTATACATTCGGGTAGTTCAAGAAAATATGTTTTTCGGATTAGTGACGATGTACGTTTTCATACATTCATGGGCTTGTCTGGAAAAATTGGGTGAAATCTCGATTTTTCCTTAGAAGATTACGCCCTTATTTCAACCCTTTAGTCACATGCAACATTAAAGCCTTTGGTTTTCCGAAGCCTAGTTTTATTAATTAATTATAAAGTGAACACGGCTTGCGTGGAAATATGGGAAACAAATAACCTTTCATTTTTGTTAGGGAAAATCGAATTTTCCATGTGTTATCCCAGAAGCCACTCGTAAATTTCCTTTCATTATACTTAAAATCGATGTACTTTTCAACCCTCTTCGAGGCGAAAATGGGGCACCTAAACCTGTCATTATCTGACGGTCTAAAACAGCAAGCAAAAAACACGACATGTCACTTTTTGCAGTCAGATAAGAGACTATATTGGTTTTTATTGATTTAGATAAGGTAAAAGTTCAATCAGGGTTAGATATTTTAAGTATTGATTTCCATCAAGCACAGCATGAACCATTCTAAACCTGGATCTCGGATGCCATATTTAGTACCAGTGGCGGTTTGTGACCAAAATATTAGGGGTTCACAATGAGAATATAGATCTCAGCACAATTTAGAAAGATATATACCTTACTTTAGAACACTGAACATTTTTTACCTACATCTGCACTGAGATCTACATTCTGTCTTTGCGAACTCCCAATATTTTGGTTACCAGCCGCCACTGTTTAGTACATTATATTTTGTATATAATTTAATTTTTTAATATAACAATTTATTACATTAATCGTGTATTTTACAATATTAGTTAATTAGTTATAAGATCTAAATTTAACATTTGACAATCTAAATAAAATAAATTGATATTCAAAAGTTGACCTCCCGGTAATTTTTATATTTGCATTGAATAAAAAGTCTCAAGGACGATGAATTAAATGACTGAATCGTTTCCAAAATTAGGTAGGTACCAAATTTATTTTTTTTGTTTTGAGAAATTAGGTCAAGGCAAAGATTTATTCAGTGGGTCATTGTGAAAAAACCGTTCTGAGAATGATTATAAAGGTACCATTTGGGAAGGCGAGACCGCGACGGCGTAAAGCGACCGAAAACGGTCTCCTTACGTCTGTACATGTAATTAAATGACGCGATACCACTTTTAACACGGCAATATCTGCTGCCTTGCTGCTGTCGTTTGCCTCGGTCTCGCGTTCCCAAATGGTACCTTTAGAGTACAATTTTAGATTAAAGAGACTACAGCACACAGCGCATGTTGCAAATTTCAAACTCCAGTAACCCACCAATTGAAAATTAGGGATTCTGCGACTCCACCCGAATTGCTACGAAATACGGGACACTTCTATTATACGCTCATCTCCGCATAAGTTGAATTACCATTGACCGCCGTTTTTTGAATAGTTTTTTTGGTGTTATTAAAAATTTAAAGTGTTTTAGTTATTCCATTTGACCTTCAAAATGCAATGCTATATCGTAAACGATTATATATACGAGAATAATCCCAAGAGTAAGGTCTCCTATTTTCTTGGAAACACAAAAATCCTTTTAGTTTCTATAATATTTAAGAAGACCTCTCAGAACACATCTCAAATCGTATTTTTCAAAATAATAGATCGACACTACTTCTAAATTTTAAATATTTGGAATAAATTCAGATGTATCTCAAGGTCAAAAATCCAAAACCCTATCGCACATAGAAATTCTTAGTGAATAAATGTAAATCATTTAAACATATTATACCTTTTAACGTATAATAAAAAATTCCCTAGTAAAATTGCAACAAAAATCATTGTAAAATAATAATAAAAGACGTATCATTCAAGGAAAAGCAGATAATGTACCAAAATTAATAAAATGTTCAGTAAAGAAACCAGGAATATCCTAAAATCAAACCTGGACTTTAAATGAAATAAATGGGGAGTATCTAGTTTTCTTTTCATATGTTAAAGAATTCTCTTTTTTTCTTGCTCTTTATTATCTGAATGAGGTAGTTTGTCGTAGTAATTTTGTTTCTTTGAAGCAAAACTGTTTTGATATATTGCAAATCGTAAAATTTAGCGCAAGCCTATTGTTATAACAATAAGCGATCCTTTCATAATTCCAGATAAAATTACCTGAATACAGTGCATATAAAAAAATAAAACGAAATTAAAATGCATGAAATAAATATAAATATTAAATAAACACAGTTAATCACAGAAGTTTTTCAAAATTGCAGGTTCTTATAAACAGTTAATTATGTTATTGTAACTTTCTAATTTTATCTAAAATATATAAAAAAAAATATAAAGTACGTAATCAGAAAGAATTTCATCGACACCAAATTTTAGAAATTCCCAGTTTATGCTCTCTTCTATAATATAGTCCGCAGTTTCTATTTTATTTTCTTATTTAAACACATGATCAATACATTTTTCCATTTTTTAGCACTCACTCATTTGTTTAATAGTTTTCCACCAATTCCCAAAACATACTCAATTTAAAAGTTGTAAAAAAATATAAAAAGACTTATTATTTATTTAGACACAATTCCAGATCCGGATTTAAATTTTGTAATTCTGTATCTTCCTTATTTTTGAGTTTTTTTCTTTTGAAAAAGTTATAAAAATGTATATTTAAAAATCAATTTTTTTTCTAAATTTTTTATGAAAACAATTTAATTTTAGGACCTCAATTTTTTTCTAACATTTTTTTGAAAACAATTTACTTTTACGAGCTAGTTTTACAAACCTAATTTTATAATCCAATTTTTCAACCTGGTTTTACGACCAAATATAGAAAATAATATGTCAAAAATGTCAATGAAAAAAATGTTGATGAAAAAAAGTTGAAAAAAAAATAAGAACATTGCCATTTTTCTGTTGTAATCTCCCTCTTAAAAATTGAAAGAGAAGAAAAATGACACAAATTTTCCAATGTTTACAAATTCGAAAGAAAAATAATGGATATAAACATTTATATTGTCTTACATTTTAAACTAAAATCAGTATTTTTTAGGCATTTCTACTAAAGAGATAAAACAATGCTGTGGCTTAGGTACGAACTTTGCTTCCTCTGGACACGACTGTAAAGATTTCAAACCGGAATGGGCTGGACCAAGATTAGCTAACGAAAAAGTGTGTTTAAGTACTGCCGATGTGTGCTGCAAAAAGCAAAACCGAGAAAAACAGTGCATGCAAGGCACTACGGACGCTATGAATGGGGTAGCATGTCCATCAGAAGATGGAGATAGAAAAGTAAGTTGGATTTATCTTATAGTACCTAAAGAAACTCTTAGATAGCACAAAGTCGTCTTAAAGACGTCTAGCATAAAACATATGAGACGTCTTTAAGACGTTTGGTATTTCCTGAAAGACGTCTTAGAAAAAGGGACGTCTTTAAGACGTCTTATATTGGTCTTTAGAGCTTAAAATAAGCCATAAATAAGACGTATTATAAGACGACTTATTAATAGCTTATAGTTCACAAGACCATTTGAAGCTTTAAATAAGACGTCTTATTAATGACTTATAATGGTCTTGTGAAGTTTTAAATAAGCCATAAATAAGACGTCTTTAAGAAGTCTTATGAATGGCTTATAATGATCTTGTAAAGCTTTAAATAAGCCATACATAAGACGACTTATTAATAGCTTATAATGATCTTGTGAAGCCTTAAATAAGACGTCTTATAATGGTCTTGTGAAGCTTTAAATAAGTTATAAATAAGACGTTTTTAAGGCGAACATTTTTTGGAGCGCCCAGACCCCTGTAGAGGGCGCCAAATGTGCTATAAACGCGAAGGACGGGCGTCATAAAAAAGACGTCAATAAAAAGTATCTGTAAGAAGTTTTATTGCCAGCGAGAAAACCTATGACGCCTTAAACTAATAACAGGTACTTTTTGAGAAAATTATTATTGTTTATGTTTTGATTTTGATCTCCATTTAAAATTATAAATCTACAATTTTCGCTATTTTTTATGACAGATCTACAAATCACAAGAGTAGAAACACTTTCCGCTTGCTTGCTTGTTGCAACTTGTATTTGCAGCGTGAGTTTTCCCTTGAATCACTAGAGAGAACAATTTTAATAAGTAAAATGCATTCAAATCATTTTTATTGACTTAAAAGCTTTATACGTTTTAAAATTACACACATGTTAACAATGGCAATGTAGAATATTGCATAAAACATTAATACTATTTAATAATTCGAAATGTAATCATCATTCACGGAATTACAATAATAATTTGTCTGAAGCGTTTGTTTTGGATTAGAAAAATTGGTCGTAGTTGTATAAATGAAAAATTTTCCGGGATTGGTATATCTATTACCAGTGGCGCAGCGAAGGAGATTATTGGCTAAACTCCTCCCCCCCCCCCCAAGACCCAGACGATTTTGAAATTTAAAAAGTTAAACTAGGTAAAAAGTTATATTTTTTAAATACTCTCAATTTTTTTTAAACCCCCCCTAATACAAAATTTTGGCTGCGCCGCTGCCTATTACTATTTGCCATGGCGATCCACCCATCATTGATACAATATGCCACTATGGGCAAACTAAGATTTCGATAAAAAACACGTTTTAGAAATGTATTTTTATCTGAAAACTCAATTGGTAGAATTGTTTTTATTTCCAGTGTATCAAGGCCATTAGAACAATATTTTTCAATTTTCAAAAAAATTTAAAAATAATTGTTTAGGAAAAATTAATAATTGCAAGCCAAACTCACAGTTATTCTATCATGCAACCTCTCCAGACTCAGAAGACCTCTGCCCCCTTGATGACGTGGAAGTGTGGAAGGTAAATGCGTGAGACCGATGAGCGTGGGTGAATGCTTTTGTTCATATGCATCATCTTGCGTTCCAAGCCATTGACAGGCTTGTACTGGATTGAGTCTTGTGTGATGCACCTGTCTATTAGTAAGTTCTCTTTACATCCCTGGAATCCCTTCCTACCGCCTCGCTGCTCTACGTATTGTTCTCCCTTCGACTAACCACTCAGGAATTGGTTCGTTTGCATTGAGCCAAGAGTTGAATATTCTGGCAAGATGCGGATGGGTACTTGGAAATTTCTTCCACCAAAACTTGTTAAGCCATCGAGGACTGGTGCTGAAAAATTTCTAGTACCTTCAAGTGCCTTTCTAATCTCTTCCTGAGTTACTTGCAGATTATCGCCACGGTGGTATTGTTGAAATTGGGTACAATAGGATCTGAACTTGATTAGAGATGATGTGTTCTTTTTGATGGGTGTCGTGCTTTCGTAGATGTTCTTCCAGAAATTTTCTACTTCAGTAGCTGACGGCGGGTTTTCAATCACAGGCTGTGGGTCATCAAGTAGTCAGTCAAGTAGTCCATGTTGATGATATCCTGCGGTTTGATATTATAAATGATGTTAATTCTTCTTTGTCTTAGAGATAATCCATTGTTGGTGTTCTCGGGGTAAACGTGCTGGGTTTGAGCTAGCTCTTGAACCGGTTGAATCTGATCTTGGACCGGTGTGGCCGGTATTTCTGTATCATTTTGTGGTGATTAAGCTCTGGGTGTCTCTCGCACCACAATCCATGCATTCTTGCCATGTAACCTCTTCGACCAGGCTCGTTATCTTCGTATGCGTCCAGCAAATCGTCCCCGAGTTCATCCGTCCATCGAAAACGTTAATTTCCATTGCCGGGGTCGTTATCGGGAATCCGTACTGGTGCTCCTCCATCTTGCCCATCGCCCCCATCCGAGAAGGGTGGATTGTCAGGAGCGTGCTCTACATTGCTAGTCGTAACAATGCGAGATCACAGCACCCTGGGATGTTACCCCAGGGCACTTCGATGAGTTACGGTATTGCATGGGCTACCGGCTCGATTTAAGGCCCGGTATGGGTCACTGGTGTTACTCGTGACCCCTCCAGCTCGCTGGCTGTACCGTCTTGCTTGGAAAGCTTTGCTACGGTAGCAACAACAACATTGCTGGATACAATGCTGCTATCGGCCAGACATTAATTATTATTATTTTAGGACTGCTGTGAGGCTTGCCAGGCGGGTATAGACAATGCTCGGGCACAAGATCAATGCTCGGGTTTAGGATTGGGCGCGCCGTACGATGATGCTTTCAACAGGTGTTGCAAAGACTACAAAACGTCTTCAAGCCCAACTTCAACAAGTACGTTACCAACAATCACTACTACAAAAGGCACCACAGCATCAAGACCAACACCGACGCCTAATAATAATTACTTTAATACACGTAAGTCACTGGAGTGACTCAGGGTTTAACACTAAGACTCTTTAATTCTCATTTATATTTTTTAGCTATTGAAAATATTTGCGATTCAGACGTTTGTGCTCAAATGTGTGAACCAGTAGGAGATTCTTTTAAATGCGATTGTTACAAAGGTTTTATACTCATGGAGGACGGTATATCCTGTCGTCCAGAAAAAAGAGTAATAAAAAAAGGTGGAAGGTAATAATAAAAAACTATAAATTAGCTGAAATTAATTTTTATTTCTATTATAGATGTGAGTTATATAATCCGTGCGACCACGATTGCATAGATACAGGAACAGCTATCAAGTGTTCATGTCGTGAGGGATATCAGCTAGCTGATGATAACAGGACGTGCCAAGGTACTTAAATATAATTTGAAATAAAAACGTCTTTTTACAACGTCTTTTTTTGATAGATATTGACGAATGTGTGTTAAACCTCCACGACTGCACTACAGTTGAGGATTGCATTAACGAAATAGGAACATACTCCTGCTACGATCCAATTTTAGACAACGAAACTATAGATTTTGAAAATAAATGTCCTACTGGATATAAATATAATTTTGATAATCTTGTATGTGACGGTAGGATATTACCCTAAGGACACATTTAAGTGTTTTAAAATTATTATTTTTTAGATATTGACGAGTGCCAATTTGACTTGATTTGTGCTCCTCCAAAGACTTGTCGAAACACAATAGGATCTTTTGAATGTGTAGGAGATGATGTACCTAAATGCCCGCCCGGTTTTCACTACAAGGATGCGACTGAATCATGTGCAGACAATGATGAGTGTCTTAGTGGCCAAAATGATTGCAATAAGGAGTCCCAGTTTTGTGTGAATACAAAAGGAAATTATACTTGTGTAGATAAAGCTTCCAGAACTTCTTGTCCACCTGGGTTTAAAAAGAATAGTATAACCCAACTATGTGATGGTATGAAAAATGCTTGATTTAAAAAATGAAATAAATCAAATTTTTTTTAGATATAAATGAGTGTGAGGAGGCAGATAACTTATGCGACGAAAATGAAACATGCGTTAACGAACCAGGTGGTCATACATGTGTGCCAACTCAAAATAAACCCACTACTAAAGTAATTAAAACTTCTACTATTACCCATACGACAAGTACTACTCCAGCTACTACAACCCAAAAGATAATTTGTCCTAGAGGTTACAGCTATGCAGAAGAGACCCATGTATGTACAGGTAAGTAAGCCTTCCTATTTTCATCTTCCATAGTATAAACTTTTTCTTAGATCCTTTTTGAGCACTTCTTTGGTTGCCTACTCCTATATGAATCCTTTTTTTCCTCCATTTGAATCTATTCCCACTTAACTTTTAATTGTCACTTTTGCAGATATAAATGAATGCCAAGTTGGTCTACACAATTGTGCAGTAGCAGAAAGATGTGACAATACCATAGGATCGTATCATTGTTCCAGGATTTTCGGTTGTGGAACAGGATACACTTTAAACTCAGCGAATGGATTATGCGAAGATGACGACGAATGTCTTCTAGGAACTCATAACTGCAGAGAACTTGGCCAGAACTTTAAATGCAGAAACACATTGGGTTCTTATCGTTGCGAGCCTATAAGACAATACTATACTCCTAGTACGACAAGTACAGAAAGAAGTTATTCTAGATATTCTCCTGTTCCACAGAATCCATCTAGATATCCTGATAACAATGCAGCGGCTTATACACCACCTGAAAATCGGACTCCTGTGTACGAACCACCTTTTGTATCGTCTAGAGCCTATACAGTTCAAACAACTCCCAGTACTACTAGTGAAACTACTATTATATCTTATCCTAATTATAACTTATATCCCAACCCATCAAGGAGCAACAGCAGTGTTGTAGCTGGCACTTTGTTTCCTATTGGTAGGTTTACCACACCTTCTACAACAACTAGTACCACTACCACTCCGCGTCCAACACTACACTTTAGACCTCACTCTACAGCTACAGATGAGACCCTTCCTTACTATTCGCCTAAAATTAAAACTACAGGTGAAACCTTACCATATTATTCTCCTAAACCTACTACTAACAGTTACACTACTGTACATTTTGTACTACCAGAAAGACCCACTCCACTGAACCCTTACTATGACATCATTAATGGCCAGTTCAGGAAATGCTTACCTGGTTATCGAATCAACTTTAGAGGACAATGCGAAGGTATTTCTTGTTGTAGTAGTTAAGAGATTATGTTAAATTATTTATGGTTTCAGACATCGATGAATGCGAGAGCAACCCTTGTAGAAGGAATGAAAAATGTTTGAATTTCAAAGGAAGATTTGAATGTGTTCCTCCAATGCAGTGTAAAAAAGGTTTTGAGCTCAGCGAATCTGATGATTCATGTGTTGGTACTTAATATTTATGAAAGGAGACACAGGAAAATTTATTATGTTATAATTTTTATTGTAGATGTAAATGAGTGTTCAAGGGGAATACACATATGTTTACCATCGCAAATATGTAAAAATTACCATGGATATTACACCTGTGAATGTCCTCCTGGGCATCATTTGAATAAAAGGACTAACGAATGTGAAGATTTGGACGAGTGTAAAATGTATAGAGTAAGTATTTAAAAAATAGATTCCTTAAAATATGCACAAGAGTTTGTATTAATTAAATTGCTGCTATGAGTCCTTGATCCTCAATGACACGAAGTATTTACTTGCTTGGTCGCATCATTAATGGACGGCAATATAAAATTGATAGCTGTAGGAATGCCACAGGTCCAAACCGGTTTGATAATAGCTTTATACAGTAGCAGTAGGTATACTAGCAGTTGTTTTTTCAGTGTTAATTTGGAATTAGGATCAAACAACCAGTACATTTTGCCAACATTTAATTCCACATTTTCTCTTTCAACAAAGATATTGAAAATATGTATATAAAATATTTTATTGCAGCCTTGCCGTTTTTCTTCATCGCAGTGTGTCAATTTGAAAGGAACGTTTAGATGCGACTGCAAACCGGGCTTCCAAAGAAGATCAGCTAACGAATGTGATGATGTCGATGAATGTTTACAAACTCCAGACCTTTGTGAACATTTCTGTGTTAACATTTGGGGATCTTACAGATGCAGCTGCCGCCAAGGATTTACTTTGAACAGGGATAACAGGTAAATTAAAAAAAAATCGAAATCGCACTATAAACTATCCCAAAATTTTTTTTTATTATTATTTATTTTATTTCGGAGTTTTTTTTTTTTTCGAAATCCAACCCTTGCTGTACGACTTCTTGTCATTACTGTAATCACTGTAATAGTAGAAACAGAAATATTCCTTATCTTTTTTTAAACTCTTGGCTATAAACCGTTGATACATAAACACTGACTAAGCGGCATCAACGTACCATTTGGGAACGCGAGACCGAGGCAGGAGACAAAGGCAAGCAACCGCGTAAGGCGGTCTCTTTATATCTGATCATATTTAATTAAATGAAGCACATTTTGGACAGCGCAACCGATGCAAGAGACGCGACAGTACTTTAAACACGGCACCGTTTGTCGCTTTAATGGTACCATGCTACGGTTGTAGCAACAAGGTTGGAAACAACGGTTAAGTGTATCAGGAGAAGGGTCTTTCGTTAATCACAGGCACAGTTCAGTTCGGCAGTTCAATTCTGTGGTTCGGTTCAAGCAGTACAAGAAAATGTTTGTATCTGTAGGAAATCTCTCAAAAAATCTTAAGAACGACGTACGTTTCGTCAGTGTCATAATTCAATTATCATTAAATGCACACTTTACAATATAACGGAAAATAAGTGGGAAGTGAGTAATGGAGATGGAAAATTGAAGATAATGTTAGTTTGATAAGAAACCTCCCAATAAACACAGTTAATCGGCACCATAACTAGGCCGAAGGAGGCTTGCCGAATGCCATGCTCGGTCCGATATACGGATGCAGCTTCGGCATGTCCACCCAGCCGAATGTCGGCAGCCCATTACATTGTAGCCGCGTTCATATATCTATATATAGTTCGGCCCGTAAAAGGATGATTCCCATGCCCGACTAGCCAAATATTCATCGCGTTCGGCTCGTAAGGATGCCTCCCATGTCTGCAAAGCCAAATATGGACCACATGCGGTTTCTACTTCTAAATTACGTCAAATGGTACGGTACTCCCGGCTTAGAAGAAACCCCGACAACAGCAATCCGAGTACTCGGCTTCCCGTACATGCCGGTATCAGGCCGAGCGAATGTCAACTATTTGTGGTTTACTGGGCCATAATCTTAGTTGTTGATGTCTTGCGGTTGCTACCAGGGGACAAAACTGATGACACATTGGAAATGAGGACGAAGGCAATTATAACTCAGAACATGAGTATTGAAAGAAATAAATTTATTTAATAGTTAATACTTTTTATTCTGTGATTTTCAGTTTATTCTAAAGTTAGTCCCAAATATGTAAACCTGCTTGATCGTTCTATATGTTCTTAGTGCAATATATTTTTACTATTTTTTTAGGTCCTGTACTGATATAGATGAATGTGAAAGATTTAAGGACAAGAGATTATGTATAGGAAACTGCAAGAATGTTCCAGGAAGTTACGTTTGCGAATGTCCTCCAGGATACAAGTTGGGAAGTGATGGAAGAATATGCGTCGGTAAGTTAAATGAAAAATTATAAAAAAAATGAAAGCATGAAAAAGTTGTTTTTGTTATTGTAGATATTGATGAATGTTCACAAAATGTCTGCCTTTCCGATGAAGTATGTTTAAACACGCGGGGAGGTTTCAAGTGTTACAGAATAAACTGTCCCCCTAATTACATAAAAGACAAAGAGCACAAATCGTAAGTATTATTTTTATATTTGACTAAATACCAAGCATTAAAAAATAACTTCGTTATCTCCTGTCGCATCTACTATCCTAGAATAGAAATAATACTAGAACACTGATGAGACCCGTTAACAGGGCAGTGTTGGCTTGTACATCATCGGCCTGGTAGAAGAGACCTTGTGCCGATTCTGCCAGGAAGAGGAGCAAACTGCAGTACACGTAATCTGCTACATTTGGAAAAGAAAAACCAAGAAAAACTAGCCAACATCAAATTAAAAAAAGTGTTCTAACTAATGATCAAATAAATAATTTGCAATAGATGAAAAGGTAGAAATAAGGCTTACTGTCCTAATAAAATATAATGGTTCATTCCAATTTTCTCTTCTTAATAGTGAATTCAGTTTTTCCACTTTTAAAAATGTTTATAGATGTTGATTAGAAATTAATTCAAGCCAAATATTTGATATGTTTATTGACGAAATTTTATTAAGGTCTGATGGCTCTCCTAGTGTTTTTTGAAGAGCCTTTTATGAACTAATATTCCAAAATCATCATGTGCATACCCACTCATAGCTTTGATGTATTTTTACCGCTTCATAATGGAAGGTTCAAAATTAAACAAACTAAAATAAACAGTTCTTTGGTTTACAGCCGCTGCAAACGCTTATTCTGTGATCCAAGGGATTACCAGTGCACCCTAATGCCAGAGCAATACACTTACCAATACATCACGCTGGTGTCCAACTTACCCTTAACTCAAGGACACATCAACTTGTTCAAAATCAAAGGACCTGAATGGTATTCGTCTAGGGCGGAATTTACTCTTAAACTGTTAGACGTTGTATGTCCACACAATGTTGAACGAGTAAATGAAGGTTATTTTAAAAAAGATAATGATCAATTTAATAGTATGGCTCTATATTTGGTCAGGTCCATACAAGGACCACAAGAGATCAAATTACAAATAGAAATGCGTCTGTTCCAAGGAAACGTCATCATAGGAAACGCAGTTGTTTATATTATTATTGTTGTGTCCGAGTTTCCATTTTAATTTTAAATGGATAATTTTATAAAAATGTAAATATAGATTATACTTTCCATATAGTTCTACTTAACGATGTTATTTTTACGCTATTAGAAACTAATAGGTAGGGATTGGTAGAAGCATTATTGATAGGTTAAGAATGAATTTAATTTTGTAATAAATACTAAAAAATTATGATTCGTTTTTTCTTTGAAGTAGTGTACCTACTCACTAGAGACTATTTGATTGTCCTAGAAATAATTAATTTTAATTAGTAACAAAAAACAGTAAATGTTCGTTATACGTATAAATAAATACAAACTGTGTATCTCCCCATAATTATCACATTTTACTAAATAATATTAAAAGACCTTTCGAAAATTTTAGATGAGTGGTGAGGCATTGTAAGGGTATTATGTCTAATGTTATAAGCATGCATAGAGCTCCTAAATAAAAGTTTCTCAAATAAATAGACAAGCTTATGTGTTTTTACTAATCTATATAAAAGTAAGAGAAAGGTAATTTGAAACAAATTGCAAATTTTTATCCATTTAAGCTGAGTAAACTGAGGTGAAATGTGATCAAATTTGCGCAGATTAAAAATGTATCTACAATTGTTTTGAACACGTTAGAGCTGGTTTGGAGAGACTTTATCTAAACAGGGAAAATAAATTGGAATACCATAGTTCATTGTAGATAGTACGAGAGTTACACAAAGCTTTCTGCGTATTTTAAAGTTTAAAATATGTTTATTTACATATAATAACCGCATCTTTACATGACACTTTTGAAGAATTGCTTTTATATGATTTTTAAATCTAAGATTTTGATCAATAATTAGGCCTAATTTTTTAGCATCGACAGATAGGTTTATATCAACACCATTCAGCTCTAACCTTAACGAATTTTTGATTTCATCCCGTTTAGTTTTGCTACAGAATAGAACCAGTGGTTTCAGATGGATTTATAACTTAAATTGTGTTCTTTAGAATACTGAGAAATCAATTGCAAGTCAGCATTAATTGAATTATTGGTATTATGAATATTAAGAGATTCAAAGCAATGTAAAGGCTGGGTATCATCGGCATAGAGTTGTAATTGACTATTATTCGGTACCCGTGGCAAATCTGAGGTGTAAATAAGAAACAATAAAGGACCTAAAATAGACCCTTGAGGTACACCTGAAATTATATATATGATATATTATGTATTATACGTTGGTATATTTTATATACTACACACGAGTGAAAGTAAATTTTATTACAGGGGGAAATTTTAGAACATAAGTTTGACGGATATATTTCAAAAATACATCCCAAAGTATTTATTAATATGCTAAAACACAGCGCCGCGGCAAATAATAATAATATCCGTCCCTTTCCCTGCACAAGCTCAGCTTTTGGGGTTAAAATTCACTCGTAAGGGGATGGATTAGGGAGAGTATTATTATTATAAATACTAGATGGTATTGAGAAACTTTTCATGGAATATCATGGGGAGAATTTGTCAATGACAGTGTTAGGGAACAGTCAATAAGCTTTACAATTGTATAGTATAGCACAGTATTTGGACCCACCGATGAGAGACTCAGATATATTGTATAATATACTCTTTCTTTCGTTACCTTTCTCCAAAAATCCAGCATCCCTGATTTAGTACTGCACTACTGTCCTCTCGTTCATTTCTGATTTTGAAAAGGGATTGTTAAATATCATTAAAATAATTGACTTAGGTTTTATTTGGCAAAATTACATTTGTAAAAAAATTATTCTTATAAATAATTCTAACAATACACATGTTCTTAAATGCTAACAAAGGTATGTATTGGCAATTAAAGTAGGTATAAACTAGGTGCACCCAAAGTATGGACCCTTAAATTATTAAAAATACCTTTTATTCGCTTTAGGATCGTGTCGCATTGAAAACAATTGACATATTTTTCACTTAAAATTCGTATGATAAAAAGCATTGTAGTTTGACAAACAGTTCAACACGCGTCATATGTATATAACTGTAATCAAAATAGTTACTCGAACAAAATAATTCTATACTATAGTGGATATTTCTAAACAATTTACATTAAAAAGGAATGAGTAAATTTAAAAACGATAAATAATTTAAATTTTTAAGTTTATGTCCCGTGATTTGTTTGGAAATACCCAGTGTTATTTTGATTGCACTTTATAGGATTTTCTTTGTACACTTAGTTTTTTTTATTTCTAAAGCAGCAGATTGAAAAAGATCACAGATTTTTAAACTGGATTTAACTGGAAAAAAATTATTTTACTGGTATGAAAGTACATTTTGTGAAATTAATGGTCTGGTTTTAAAAGCGTTTTTCATTCATATTAGCTATCTGAAATAGAGAAAGAGAGCATTCCAAGTAGATTTTTTTGGTTTACTTCAAAAAAGGAATAGTATTAAAGTAGCCATACACGAATGAGAAAAAAAAATCATAATTTATTATCTATCTACTGAGTATATCTGGAACGTTCTCAAGAGGTGTACTAGAAAACGCCCATCTCCAGGACCGCTACAGGAATGAAAACATAAGGCCCAACAAATGAATTGTAATTCCTCAAGGATCACTCACGATCTCATTTTGATATTTCTTCGTTGTAAAATGTAGACTTAATTTTGTTGTTTTAAAATTGTTTCGCATAATTTTGCAAATCCAGAAGAAAGACTTTCTTTACAGGTCTTTATGGTCTGGAACATTCCCTTAATTAGCCATGATTGGCCCATAGAATTCGCATCAACCTTCTGGATATTCACATTTTGCAGGACACGTAACAATGGGAGAAACAGTATCTCAAGTCCAGGCCAAGATAATTTGACAGGGTCAATGATATGAATAGTTTTTCAAAATGTAATTATTTTTTTACTGTTATCAAAGGCTAAACGATTTTTGCTAAACTGATTACAATTAATGAGTAGTTATAATATGACCGCTCGCTTTGAGCAATCTATATAATTATAAATATCACTGACTCTATCAAAGCACAGAGGTAGCAAGCAATTTTGACAAGTTGTTGGAATGCCTAATTTTAAATATCTCAAATCTTAGTTGCACATCTCTCGAGATAAGAACACGTACCGAATCAAATTATATAAAAATCGTATTCTGTCGAACGAAGGTAGGCGTCTCAACACGTGACGTATTGAACGATGAGAATCCCACTGCAGAGGCTCGATTCTCGAGTTCATTGGAAAATTTTCCCATGGGAAAAGATTCCACTACTTATATTCCCATGGTAATAGGTTATGCAATTCTCGAACTTGCCGGAATAGACATTCCCATGGAAATAGTAGTTTCACGTATGTCTGATATTAAGTCCACGAATATTTCGAAACGACCAATAACATTAAAGATATTTTAAAATTTACTGTTGGGATTATTTGTATTTGTTGTGGTTTTTGGTTAACCGATTACCTGCCGAGCCTCCGCGCTGGAGCAGGTGCCGTGCCGAGCAATCGCTAGCATGACCGAGGATCAAGTGAAAGTATTCGATTATGTATAGTTAAAACTTGTCGAGTTATTCTTAGTTTTTCTTTTCACATGTTGAAAAAGGAAAAAGCTTTTGTATGGAAGAGCAACGAAAGTTTCGAGAAACTAAGAAATTCTTTCGTTAACGGAAATAATAAAATTATCGACAAGGTCTTATTAAATTTACTACAAATTTCTCAATTTGTGTTATTTGCCAGTCCCTTAGCAGCTCCCACAATTTCTAACTGATTTAAGAAAATCAGTTCATACAATTTCTTAGTGAAAGAGAAGTAAAAATAATATACCTACATAAATAATATCATTCTATAAATATGCCAAAAAAATGTTTTAACTACAATTTCACCAAAAATCCAATAATCTTTGGTTATGTCTTAGTATTTCGTTAAATTTTCGACTTTAATGCGCAAACTCTAGTACAATTCCCATTGGAAAACACAATTTCCAATGCTCGTAAGTTTGGGGAATATTTTCCCATACTTTTCATTGGAAAATATTCCACCGCTTATGTCGAGAATACGAAAACTGAATTCCCATGGGAAAATTTTATTTAAATGAAAATTAATAGAAATGAATAAATATGAATTAATATAAAAAAATACATAAAAATTAATGAAAATCAATAAAACTAATAAAAATTAATAAAAAAGGAAGTCATGTATTTTTTTAGATTAATAACACGACTATATGCGAGCAAAATTGCGAGCAAAGCCGTGGGCAATCGCTAGTAACATTATATTTAAAAAGGCATGCGACATTACAATGTCGACTGGTTGAATACCTCTCGACTTTATGTCTAATAAAAAATGTCGAATTCGTTATTCCAGAATACGTTTTTGCGTTTTTATTTGACATTTCATCAATGTAGCGTGTGACATTTAGAAATGGACAGTGCGGTAATTCTAAAGTATATCTCCAAAAGCGCACAACTTGTCCCATAGTTTGCTAACGGTGTCGAACGCATACGTGAGACCGATAAGTTTATTTTCGAAGCCATCTTCAATATGATCTGTTGATCTTTACGTTTGAGAAGAACCGGCAGGCATTCAGTTACCTTGCCATAATTTGCCATGAATGTTATCGGTATGAATTTCACGGCCTATTATGTTAATTTTGAAATCAAATAAAACTTTAAGGGTGTATTATAGTTCAACAATTAAAGAGGTTAAAATTATTATCGACAATAAAACGAGTTATCATTTCAGATTGAAATAAAATATATGCAAAAAAATTGTAAACAGAAATTGCATAACCATCAGTCTGTTGAAATTACATAGTTTTTTTAAGAAAAAATATATAGTTATGTATAATTATTTAACAGACAATTTGTCATGACAACAGATCGCTACGTATCACTTACTTTTGCTTTTAAAACCAATAATAATAATAATATAATGATCATACTGTACTAAACATTAGCAGGTCCCACATTTGCTACTTACAGGGTGTTCCATAAATTGAGACTTATTTTTTAAATGTGTATATAAAAGTTAAAATAAACATTTTCAAAATAGCTCAAAACAAGAATAAAAACAAAAAAATCACAAGGATAATGCACATGCCCGGATTTGGATGTTTTAATTCCGTAACTTTTTCTTTCTTGCGTAACCACCGAGGTCACCAGATTTAAATATCTGTGATTTTTTTAAATTTAATAATTTCTATACACAGTTAAAAAAGGAGTCTCA